CCTGCTGAATGCAGATTTTGGGGTGGGACAAAATGCACGCAGCCCCAGAGAAGAGGAGCCTCTTCCCCAAAGGGGTCTCATTATCTTGCTCATCCCGTCTCGTCATTTGGGTTGATAGGATAATGTGCAGTTCCTGATATGGATTACAAAGAACAGTGAAAAGGGATGGGGCAGAAAACTTAAATTGCAGAAGGCTGGCTTGTTTGAAGCACTGGAACAGGGTTAGGTCCATGGCCTCCTGCCCTGCCTTCTGTCCATGCTTGCGTGGTTGCGTCATCTAGGATGGGATGAAGACAGAAGCTCCTTCTGCCACTGGAGGAGTGTGGGGAGGGGGTTGTCTCCTGCACCTGTCTCTGAGCACCTGCCTCTTTCCCACAGATGCCGTGCACACTCTTACCTGTGCCATCATGCTCCTCAACACTGACTTGCATGGGCAGGTAAGGTCAGGGGAGAGGGGGGCAGGGCGTGTGTTTAGCTGAGGATATTTTGTCTGGAATTCAGCCATGACCACCAGCTGTGTGGGAAAGGCTTTGCCACCCTGAGCCTGAGGCTGGCTTCTTGGGAGGTTTGGGTTTTCACCAATGGCCATTTTGTGGAGGAGGGACTGTATTGTGTGGGGACCAAGGAGAGCAACATGTATTGAGGTGCTACCGGCTGATGGTTTTCAAGCCTTCAGGTCTTGCATGTCGTGTCTGCCTGCAAGGAAGGGGAAGAGGGTGTCTTGTGTGGGCAGCACGACATACATGCCGGCCTGTAGCTAACATGGGGCCCACAGGGCCTGGCTCCCTAGTCTTTCTTCTTGGGCCCCTCCTTCCCGGGCTGCCCCCAAAGTGCCCTAAGCTTGCCGTCAGCATTGTGCTTTGGTTTAATTGGCTGGCGCTCTCCCCTGAGGCCCCCTCCCACAAAATTCCCTAGCTATGGGGCTGCATACATGCCAGAGGTTCTTCAGCCTAATGTGTCCCTTTCTCTTTTTCTCACCTGGATGTCCCCCTGCTGTTTTTGGTTTGTGATGGCAGAATATTGGCCGGAGCATGACCTGTCAAGCTTTTCTGGCCAATCTTGAGGGCATGAACAATGGCAGCAACTTCCGCAAAGAACAATTAAAGGTACATGCACTACAGGCAATACATATATAAGGTGAGAGTGGGGGTGGGTGGGGAGCCGTGCCCTGGCCCTGGAGGAATCCCAATAAAAAATCCAAAGCCTGTCTGAATCTCTGAACTCTCACTCCCCAAAGTTGGTCAGATACTTTGCTGAAGCCATGAGGGCTGGAACCTTTTTTCCCTGTAAAGCAAAAGCCAAGGTTGAAAAGAGGGAGGGGATTTGGGCAGAAACCTGCACTTCACTGGGAGAGGTAATGTGGGACTGGAATTCCAGGAGTTGCCACACTAACTGCTTGCAGCTCCTGAAGGAAGCAAATATTGGGTGGGCATGCCAGCCTGGATGCGGTTGGAAAACTAACATCCCAACTTTTTCTCTCCAGGAACTGTATTATTCCATCCGCAATGAAAAACTGGAATGGGCTGTGTAAGTAATGCTGTGTGTGGAGGAAGGGCGGAGAGGATCTAGGTCAGAGGAAGGCAGCAGGGACAGGGAGGTAGACCAAGACCCCAATCTGTACACAAAGAAAGGGATGGGGGTGGGGGAGGGCTTGATTCTGCATGGAGACCATCTGGCTCCCCAAAACTCTGGCTTTTGAAGTCTGACACTGTCTGAACACTTTATGGCATTGTGGCAAAGAGATGGATGAGAGAGAGGGACTGTTTTAGTCTTCTTGGAGCTTCGCAGCCCAACAGACCATTAGATGTGACTCCCTTCGAAATAGTCGTTTCTTGTGTGGTTTTTATTTAGGCCCTCTAGTGGTTGTTGAGAGCTGCGGTGGCTCAAGTAGTTAAGATGCTGAACTGCAGGCTGTGGAAGGTCAGTAGTTCAGCAGCTGGAGACCCGAGTGTGCTCCATGATGGAGTGAGCTCCCGTCTCTAGTTCCAGCTCCTGCCGATCTAGCAGTTCGCAAGCAAGAAATTGCAAGTAGATAAATAGGTACCACTTTGGTGGGAAGGTAACAGCGTTCCATGCGCCTTGGTGTTTAGTCATGCCGGCCACATGACCACAGAAATGTCTTCGGACAGCGTTGGCTCTTCAGATTAGAAACGGAGATGAGCACCGGAACCCTAGAGTCGGACTCGACTAGCTTTCGAGCAAGGGAAGCCTTTACCTTTACTGGTTGTTGAGCACAGGTGTAGATTCTCATGTAACCTTCAGACAGAAAATTTGCAAGGCAAATTGAGTGCTGGAAGCAGGGAAGGTGCCTGGAAACAATGCTGGGCAGGAAGGGAGTGGATGCTGGACAGGTTCTTGTTGAAAGACTGGCAGGCCTGCAAGCAACAGTCGCTGGCTCTGTTAAAGCATTTTTTCTGCGTCCTGCCTACTAGTTCATCTGTATCCTTTTCTAGCTTTTGCAGAGTTTCTTAGAATCATAGAGCTGGAAGGGACCTGCATAATGCAGGAAATTCACAAATACCTCCCCCTCCACACCCCAAGTGACCGCAGTTCCACGCCCAGAAGATGACAAAAAACCTCCAGGATCTCCAGCTAAACTGGCCTTACTTCTGTCATTTAAGGAGCCATCCTAAATTTTCTTCAGAAACCTACAGAGGTCTATTCAATGGGACTTTCTCTCAGGAAAGTGTTCTTAGAATCATAATATGAGTCTCAAATGCTGACATGTGCATGACTGTGGTCTGGTATAGCACGCTGAAGCAGTTAGTATGTGAGGGAACTAACTCAGAAAGTCTCTTGGAAAGCCAGAGATCAAATTGTTAAAAGGTGTTATTTTACACATACAGAAATTAGGAAATTTCAAAGGTGAAACTACGGGGGGGGGGGGGAGTACCAATTCTTGCTACCTAAAACACGTACAAGACATCAGACGTCTTCTCCCCTTCTTGGAGATGGAGCTTCTTTCCCATAGCGGGCATTGGGCTTGACAAAAGACTGACAGAAGCCTGTTTTTTTTTTCTGCCCCATTTTTCCAGGAGTTCCTCAGAAGCAGGGAGTTCCTTTTTGGCCCAGTGAGAAAGTGGGGTGCTCATTCAAACTTTGACCAATTAACCATTGCCTGAGGAACATAGTATGCTTTGCACACAGCCCTTTTTTAGTGCAGTGTGCAAAGGAAGGGTGTAGGGTGCAAAGGGGAATTAATGAGCATCAGACCAGTAGAAACCCTCCATTGACCTCCTCTTGGTTGTGACAGAGGACAGAATACATCTAATACCTTTTATTAGCATCAACCAATTACATAATGAAAGGCACTATGTGGTTCCTGTTCTTGTTTTTGGATTGATTTTGTGTGGACCAGTATGTCTGTATGACTTTGTGACACAGGCCAGGTGTGATATATGGTGATCCTCCCCCAATCCAAGATGCTTATATGCTTTGCTGAAAACTCAAGCAGGGCTTGGTCTGTTTTCTCCCTAAAACACAGGGATCCTCCATTACAGCACCCACTTGCTTGTCCACCTGCCTGGAGGTTTCAGCATCTGTTGCTGCCACTTTCTCCTTCTGGGAGAAGCAAAGCAGGCTCCCTTCACTTTGCACACTAGCCCATGCGACAGGGTGGCCCTTTTCCTTAGAGCTGTGCAAGGAATTTCCCTCGCAAACACCCTGTCAGGACAGCTGTGTGATGTGGCTGGACTAGAGACCTCCCTGATCTTCTACTAGTGCCTTCCTAAATAGAGTTCATTGGCTTCCGTGCACTTAGAAGGGTGTAACCTTCTAAGGAGCTGCGGTGGCTCAAGTGGTTAAGATGCTGAACTGAAGGCTGTGGAAGGTCAGTAGTTCAGCAGTTCGAGACCCGGGTGCCACATGATGGAGTGAGCTTCCATCTCTAGTTCCAGCTCCTGCCAACCTAGCAGTTCGAAAGCAAGAAATTGCAAGTAGATAAATAGGTACCACTTCGGTGGGAAGGTAACAGAGTTCCGTGCGCCTTGGTGTTTAGTCATGCCGGCCACATGACCACGGAAACGTCTTCGGACAGCGCTGGCTCTTCGGCTTTGAAACGGAGATGAGCACCGCAACCCTAGAGTCGGACTCGACTGGCTTTCGAGCAAGGGAACCTTTACCTTTACTTTAACCCTGCCTTAAGATGGCGCGGTAAGTTCTTTCCCAGAGTGTGCAGCATGCAGACATACACCTTATAGAACCTATTTCTCCTGATCATGGGTGTTAGCGCAGAGATTCTCCCAAGAGTTGGGGACACCCGTGGGGATTATTACAACTGGGAAACAAAGCTGGGGTGCCAATCAGGAAAGTAGTTTTAATGCTGAAGTTTATTGTAAAACTTGTACTTATTCCTATTTCTTTAAAAAAAAATGTCCCCCCTGTAGGGATGAGGAAGAGATCTCCACCACCTTGATACCCCCACCCACTGGATCTTTCCGGAAGAAGAGCAATCCTTTCCTGACTCTGTCCCACGATCCTGATGCCAAAGTGTACCATCAGGGCTTCCTCACTCGCAAGGTGCATGCAGAAGCTGATGGCAAAAAAGGTGGGTGCTGGGCCATCACTGTGAGTTATCACAATATCAGCCCCCCACCCCCCTGGGCCTGCCTAGATCAGGGTGTGTTAAAAGCTATGGCCTTACATGCCAGGACAGTAGGCAAGATTACATTGGGGGGGGGGATTCTAATCCTTGTCTCTGGTTCCCTGACCCCAGTTGCCCGGAGCAAGATCTCAAAGCCTTATAAAACCCTCCTTTAGGATGATGGGTTGGTCCAAGGCAAAACCAAAAAGTAGTGATGTATGAAGCCTCGCAACCAGTGCTCCCTCTAAGCTCTGAAGTCTTGTGAGCAAAATTCTACTTTGTGAGGTACTAGCATTAAAGTTGTGAGCGAGCAGTTTGGCTGCTGCATAAATTAGTTTGCTCTGGAGCCGTCCTTCCTAAGCTAAGACAAAAATGTGTGAGCCGGAGGCTAAAAAACTGTGAGCTAGCACACACTAACTCAGCTTAGAGGGAACACTGCTCATAACCCCCCAGGCAGTACTGCCATCAGTGTTCCCTCTAAGCTGAGTTAGTGTGAGCTAGCTCACAGTTTTTTAGCCTCTGGCTCACACATTTTTGTCTTAGCTCAGGGAGGATGGCTCCAGAGCAAGCTAATTTATGCAGTGGCCAAATTGCTCGCTCAGAGCTTTAATGCCAGTAGCTCACAAAGCAGAATAATTGCTCACGAGACTCCACAGCTTAGAGGGAACATTGACTGCCATCAGTCCCATTCACTAACCCACCAGCCAGAGACCAAGGGACTGAGTCTGTAGCCTTCTCGGGTCTAAGATCACAAAGTCAGCCCTCCAAGGTAGGACATTTGCAAGTTGGTTTACAGAAAACAGTTATTCTGTTAGCTGCAGCCAATATGGGCTAAACTGCTGGGTTCAGATTGAAGCCCCCAAACCCAAGAACACCACAGAATATAATTAAAGTAGTTTATTAAAAGAGCATGCAAGAATATATAATACATGAGCCATGAACAGTGAGGGTACAATAAAGCTAAGTTTCTGACCGGCACACATTTACAAGCACTGGTTCTAAATTCAGATGTTACCATGCAAGATTGAGTCTAACAGAGTTCCAAAGTTCAAAATGGGCTCCAAGATCAAGAGATGTCCCAAGTTAGATGTAATCCGGGCAAAGCTAGAATGAAAGATTTTTTTTAATGCCCAATGACCTATATTGGCAATCTAGCTGGCCAATCAAATGTATACTAATGATGTAACTTGACCAATCAAGTAAGTTGCTACCCAGGTGACCCAACCAATCAGGTGCATTGCCATAATGAGACTATATACTCTTCACCTGTACAGGGCCTAATCAAAAAAGCACCTTCCCCCACCCATGGAACCTTGCATGAATAAGGTGGAGCGTGTTGGCCAAACTCCCTTCTAAATTGTTCAGCCTTTGAAACTGCTTAGGCCTAATGGTCTGACCAGCACTTGTATCAGCCTCCTGTCTCCTGATCTCACTGTTTGAAATTACAGTCAGCTGGACCTCGATTCTCAGAGAGAGAAGCTACCATGGTTTTTACTAGGCTTCAACCTGAACTAATGTTTCTGAATAGACAAGTGACTACTAGGCAAACTAGCCTCTTGAAAAAAGATATCTTGTCGTTTCCTCTTTTCCTTACCTCTCCATAAAGCTTCTCAACTCAAGGGGTTCTCTGTGATGGTTGGAATCTGTGGTAGGTTCTCTGGTGTGTGATCTAGCTGCAAAAAAGGGCGGGAAGCTGCTGGGAGGTTTGGATTGGGACTGCAGCGCAGAAGAGAGGAGGAGGATTAAATCTTCCTCCACACACAGTTGGAAGTAACCTCCCCAAATGCTGAAGACCCAGTGAGTAAAAAGATAGCGTGTTTGTCTTTTTTAACTTATTAGAACCAAAAGCAACATAAGGGGTGTATTTCGTGGGTTCTTTTAAAAATAGTATTTGTGTGTGTGCATGTGTGTGCTTGCGTGCCTGAAAGTCATGTTGACTTCTGGTTACCTCTACTGGGGCTTGGACGTTTTCAGAGAAGTGGCTTGATCTGCCTGCCTCTGCGTCTCAGCCCTGGTATTCCTTTGGAGGGCTACCCAGGTAAGGGCGAGGGGTTTATTTCTGATCAGGGCAAAGAGTACACCTTCCACCTCCCTGCTTCCGCCAGGGCTTCAGTTCATATACCCCCCCCCCACTCCCTGGCTGGCTGCTTTTTGAGATTCAGTTGCAGTTTGGGGGATCCGTTCGATATGCTCAATGTCATGTGCAGTTTGGCCCCAGGAAAATGAGGCGGGCTAAACCTTCATAGATGCAGCGACCTGGTCTGACCCCCCCCCCCCCCCCCTTCCCCCTTTCCGCACCATGGGGGAAGAGAGGCTGGAAGACGTTCCACACTGTGCTGAAGGGGATGGTGCTCTACTTCTTCAAGGTAAGCGATGACCCGTCAGGCACTGGATGCAATGGCCTTGCAAGTTCAGACTCCTTGTGATTCTCCCCTAGTGGCCGCTTGTGGGCCTGAACGGTGGCGTACCTGTCCCAGAGACCTGGTGAGAAGTCACTTGGGATTCACAGATGAGGCTCACCAGGAAGAAGTGTGGCACATCTCAGGGCCGTGGCAGAGGGACATCCCCCCTGTTGAATGTTGTCGGGTGCACCTGTCCCATTGGCCTGCCTCGGCCATGATATTCATGAGGCTTGAGCAGTGCCTGAGTTTTGCTTTTGCACTGGTTTCCTGTACTGTTCCTGGGTAGGAGTTATTAGGCAGTGTTTTCCTTTTCCTTCATAGGAGATACTGGGGATATCACATCTTCCGGAAATGCTTTGGCCAGAAGCTGGTCTCCCTGGCTAACTGACTAGGACCCCCTGTACTGGCTCCCATTGCTTAGCCAGAATCTTGTTGGCACACATTTAACAGAGGCTCTCAGAGCATCTTATGGGCTCAATGCATATAAACCCTGGAAATGTCCTCATATGGAAACCGTGCACCTGGCCTAGTGCCGTCTACTGTGACCAACAGGCTCTTGGGCCTTTCCAAACCGTGCTAACGGGAAATCTGGGGCACTGCACCTGGAACGTTCTGTCCACAACATGCACCCTTGTTCAGAAGAGTTGATGCTGGGCCTGGCATCCGAGCCCTGGGTCCATTCCCTTCAGCCTGCTTCTGTTTTCCCCACAGGACGAGAACCGGCTTGATGCTCTGAGCTCAGAGGATCCCATTGGGGTGCATCACGCCCTGGCGGAGAGAGCCAGCAAATACACCAAGCGGCCCAACGTCTTCCGGCTGCAGACTGCTGACTGGCATGTCTTCCTCTTCCAAGCACCGTGGGTATCCCCAGGCCTTGGGGCAGCTTAGGCGTTGCTAGGGGGTCGGCAAATGACCCTTCTCCCTCCTTTCAGAGGTCACCTTCCACCTCCTCTGGGGCAGAGAGCAGGAATAAGGAGGCCTCCAGGTCAGAAGGTGGCAGCCCTTTCCCAATTCCATGCCTCCTCCTCCTCCTCCTCAGTCCTGCAAGTGGCTTTCTGTCCATCCCGTAGGGCAATTTCACAGGGGGAAAAGAAACTAGTTTTGGACAGTACAGTGGTAAGTACTGTTACCTCCCGGCAACCTGCTTGTTCTGCAAGTGTAGCGCAAACTTGGTTTTTCCACTGCCACAGAACTGATGCAAGTTTTCATCTCTTCATTCTTCAGTCCCAAGTTATTGATAGCTGTTGGAGAGAGCTGAACGTTTGCGGTCAGGCTCTTATAATAATACTGGAATATCTCGTTGAACTTCTTTGGGGGGAAAGGCTAAAACGAGAAGCCCAAAATGAGTGTAGGGCTTTAAAAGTCAACTAGTCATCTAGTCAACTAGTCATCCCTTGGACTGCAAGAAGATCAAATCAGTCAATCCTAAAAGAAATCAACCCTGACTGTTCCCTGGAAGGCCAGATAATGAAAATGAAGCTCAAATACTTCGGCCACCAAATGAGAAGGGAGCACTCACTGGAGAAGACCCTGATGCTGGGAAGCACTTAAGGTCAAAGAAGACGGGGATGGCAAAGGATGAGATGGTTAGACAGTGTCATAGATGCAACAAACATGAAATTGAGCACACTTCAGAAGGCGGCGGAAGACAGGAAGGCCTGGCGGGATCTGGTCCATGGGGTCGCGAAGAGTCGGACTCGACTGTGCGACTGAACAACAACAGTCATCACTATTTTATTCCTGTGCATTTCCCCCCACTGCACATTACAGTGCAGAGGACTTCACAGTCCCATGAAACTGTCTTAAACTGATTCGGACCGTTGGTCCATCACAGTCAGTCCTGTCTATTCAGACTGGCCGTGGCTCTCCAGAGTCTCAGGCAGAGGTCTTCATTGGTCTTGTCATTATAGCGATTCTCTGTTGTTCCCATTTCACGAATGGAAAAGCTGAGGGCCAGCTTACCTCATAGTAAATTGACTCCTTGCAGAGCCAAGGGCAGTCTTGAGCTTCCCTCTGCTGTACTGAAGCCCCGCTTTACTGACCTTTAGGGCACTGTTGCATGCAAAGCTGACCTCAAAGTTTGACACCCAATAGCTATGTTTTGGCATCTTCTTCTTTACATAATTACAGTTTGAAAATTGGAGTTGCCAGCTAGGTCAAAACTGTCTGCCTCTTGCAGAGTATGGAACACGTCACACTATTGCTGTAACCCTGAATCCCCTTAGAATGTTCACCGTCACCTCTGGCTGTTCCACCATAGCCCAGGCAGTCCGCATGCTGGAGCCACTGGGGCTCTTCTAGAGGGAAAACAGCCTAATTCAGCCCATTACTCCATAGATGGAGATTTCAGTATTGAGTTTGGGACACCCTTTTCTTTTCCCCAGGACTCCAGAGGAAATGAATTCATGGATTTCCCGCATCAATCTGGTAGCTGCCATGTTCTCCTCCCCACCGTTCCCAGCGGCGGTGGGCTCTCAACGGAAATTTGTTCGACCCATCCTCCCAACAGCAACCTGCAAAAACTCCCTGGTGAGCTGAAGGGCACCATGTGTTTGTGTGTGCGCAGCAGAGGTGTATGTGTAGTGGTTTGAGTGTTGGACTAGAACCCGGGAGATGCAGATTCAGATCCCCATTCAGCTGTGCAACTCACTGGATGAGCCTGGGTCAGTCATTTTATCTTGAAAGGTAAAGGTTTCCCTTGCTCGAAAGCTAGTCGAATCCGACTCTAGGGGGCAGTGCTCATCTCCGTTTCCAAGCTGAAGAGCCAGCGCTGTCCGAAGACATTTCCGTGGTCATGTGGCCGGCATGACTAAACGCTGAGGCGCACAGAACGCTGTTACCTTCCCACTGAAGCGGTACCAATTTATCTACTTGCACTTTCTTGCTTTTGAACTGCTAGGTTGGCAGGAGCTGGGGCCAGAGACAGGAGCTCACTCTGTCACGCGGCACACTCGGGTCGCAAACAGAGCCGATTTTGCAGTGTGTTTGCGGGGAGAGAAGAACCATGTATTCCCTCCCCACCTTGGAGAAAGGAATTTTTTAAAAGTGGTAACTAAATAGATCTTCAGCCCTCTCCGCAGACACCGCTACCCACTGCAAACCAGAAACGAGAGGAGGAGGAAGAGAATCCAGGCCAGGCGAGCCTACCAGGCAGGCCCCTGCAGTTCAGCACTGGGCCCTGCCTTGGTGTTTTGTGCTGCTGGCCCAGCTGCCTCTGAAGCTGGGATGGGGCTCAGCAGCCGTCCAGCACCTCCCGTGACATCCTCCCCCTTCCCTTCCCCGGCTGGTGCCCCTTACTCTTCAAGGGGTCAAGGGGAGGCCAGTTCCCCTGGGCTAGGGATTTAGCATCACCCCATCCATTTCTGCCGCTGCAGGAAGATCAGCACCTGGCTCACGAGGACTCGATGGACAAGGTCTCGGATGAGCTCCTGGAGCATCAGCGGAACCTCCCCAACAAGCACGGGCGGAGCCGGGACCTGGAGGAGTATCATCTCAAGAAGGAGTATTTGCTCTATGAGGTACGTGAGGGCCACGGTGGGAGAGCACTAACTAGGACCCACGGCAGAGCCTTAGGAAGCTGTTGTTCAACGTGGGGCATGGTTGCCTCCTCTCATCCCCCTCCCCGTCCACCCCACCACAGTCTGAAGGGATCCTTCAGTAGGGTCTGTGAAACCTGCCAGGTTATTTCAGCGTAAAAGTTCCACCTGGCTGAAAGGTAACATGGTTTGTTCAGAACAGTTGTTTGCAAAGGTGCGAACGTGTGTCTGCCACAAAGCAGGAGATTCCGGACTGCTTGTTGGGGGTACTAATTAACTTGTTTACGGAGGGTGTGGATTTATTCTTCCCCTCCCCGGGCTGAAGGGCTTGGCCGTTGCAGAGCGACTAAAAGCCACAACTCAAATCCAACCCAGACATGACATGCAAACCAATCACATGACCTTGCCTTGCTCCAGAGGCCCCCAGGGTGATCAGGGCCCCCGAACATTTGCCCCCCAGCCCTTCTCCCTTTGGGCACCCCTCGTAATGACCTGTTTCGCATCCGTCACCATGCTCTGGACTTTCTGTTCAACACCACTGCGTCTGCTCAGAGGGCTGTGACACTTTTCAGGATTCTTCTCTGGAATTCTGAATATGCAGTTTTAGCACCCCAAAACAAAAACGTGGATATGCATTGCATCCTTGATCTTGGAGTGTGGGAAAGAGATAGGGGGCGTGTGTGGCTGGGGAAAAGGAAGCAGCGGCCGGCTGCAAGAGTCTGTGCATCTCGTTGCTGGGGAGATCCCTCTCCTTCCCATTTCCTTTGGGTGTCTGATTCCAGGCGCCACACTTTCCCCTCAAGCTTCCTCTTTTGCTTCGCGCAGAAACGACGGTACGAGACTTACGTGAGGCTGCTGGAGGTGAAGCTCAGCAGTGACACTGACGATCTTGACCAGTGGGAGGCGCAGCTGCAAGCAGCCACCAGTGGGGCTGACGATGAGAACCCCGGCCTGAAAAAGTCACACTCCAGCCCCTCCCTGAACGCGGACGGGTCACCCACGGTCAAGGTGAAGAGAAATATCTCCGAGCGCAGGACGGTGCGGAAAATCATCCCCAGGCGCAACAAGCATTTGCTGTGACCCTCCCCCTAAAAACTTTTGCCCTGCCTGAGCACTTCCTTCTCACACACAAGAGACTCCTGGGCAGGGGTCCTGTTTGGGGCAGGAACGTCGAATGGTACATAACGGAACTGCTGCTTTTTCAAACCAAGGCAAATCAGCACTTGCAGTATTTGGCCACCAGGGGGTGCCACACCACAGGAAACAGGCACTGGCAGAGACTCAAAAGACTGGCGGGGTGGCAGGCTCCCCCCCATACAGTGCAAAGGCTCCCTGTGTGTTGTCTCCGATCAGGTCTAAAGCATCTGCCCTTCCTGACCCAGAGGGCTGTAGGCATGCTGTACTCAGGGAAAGTGCCCCCGCTTGTGGGGAGAGGGAGAAGCCCCTCTCTGCATTCTTTATCCCCCGTGATTCTATGATTCTGTTCTAGGCGTTGTATCGGTTCTTTGTTTCTCAGTTGCTGGAGGGGCAGATGGGACCTTGGTGCAATAAATGAAAACAGGCAAGCATCTGGCCTAGATGTTGGGGGCTAACTGAACCCAGCTGGAACTGAGCTGGGCTACAAACAACCCGGCTTCCCCTGCCCTCCACAGCTGGAGCTACTTGGGCAGAGTAGGCTTTTTCTGCCAGCTCCGGTAGCACTTTTGCTGCGAGGAGGAGGAGGGTTTTTTCCTAGCAGTCCCTTGTGATTCCCCTGGGGCAGGAGGCAAGGAGGCGGACCCAGGGCTTCTGAGAGCAGCACGTGAACAGTGACAGAGGATGCAGAGCAGAGGATGGGGCCGTGCTCACCTCCCTTTCTCCTTGGGCCTCGGCCCCACTGATGCATTCCCACCCTGGCCTCACTGCTGCATTCCCACCCTGGCCTCACATGGCGGTTTTTGCAGCCAGGCAGAGTCAGAGAGCCCCGAGGGCAGAGTGAGACGGTCGTCCTTGGCCCAGTCTGAGCCCCATCACGCCTTTGGGGGCTCTGCCAGGGCGTGTTCCGCAAACCGGCTGTGCGCTCCAAGAGCCCTCTTTGGCGGAGCCGTGAGTGACCCAGGAGCAGAGAGCCGAGAGCCCAGCAGCCTCCTGGTCAGAGGAAGGGGGACAGCCTGGCCTGGGTGCACCTGAGCCCCGGTCCTCGCCCTTCCTCCGTGGCTGCAACCTGACAGCTGCCAAAGCCCTGAGAGAAAAAGCTGCAACTAGAGAGCAGCAGATCTTCCTCATGGCCACAAGCCAGCCTTCTTCTTGTCCTCAGGGGAGTGGTCAAGCTGGGGAGAGGGCCTGAGCCCTCCAAAAGCCCCCCAGATTCTGCTTCACTTGCAGGAGGCTTCCTGGGGTGGCGGCTGGGAATGGGGAAGCACAAGGGGGGGCGGGGGGGAGGATCCTTCTGCTTCCTGGCTGCTGTCAGCGGCTTTTCCCCTGTGTCTTCTAAGACTTCCATTTTACAAGTTCGACCAGGTAGGCTTTTCTATCACAAGCAGTTCACCCCAAGGCCCGATTTAACCCCGATGCTGGAATTTCCCTGGGAGACTTTTCATTGGATCAGCATCTGCTTGAAACTGGGCCGCAACCTTTGCACAGGTTGCAGTGAGGCGCCAAGCCCATGCACAGTTGCACAGGGAAACAAATGCTTTCTTCTTGCCAGCCTCGTGCTCAAATTGGGCCTGAAGTACTGCAGAAGCCCTACTTTCTGAACTGCACATAGCGGCATTGTTTATTTAAAAACATTTATTAGCCACCTTCTGTATGGAGCTCAAGGCGGCTGGCAACATTAAGTACATAAAATAAAAAAATACAAAAGCATAATTTAAAACCACAGTTCAGGATTGCTAGTAAACTTAACTAAATGCGGTCCTCAATAAAACCGTCATTGACTGCCACCTGAAGATCAAGAGGGAGGGAGCCAGGCACACCTGCCTCGGTAGGTTGTTCCATAACTGTGGGGCTGCCACTGAAAAGACCCCCCCTCGTGTACCCAACCAGACAAGCTCTGAGGTCATTTCGGGGGGGATCGCAGTTCCCCCGGGTGAGGTACGAGGGGGCGGGGCACATGACGAAGCCCCGCCCCCTCCTTCCGGCCGCCCCGCTTCTGGCCCTCATTCAGCCAGGAGGAGGCAGGAGAAGAGGGAGGGTAAGTTGCTTCCTCCCTGCCTCTCCCCACCCCTGCCTGCCTGGGGCCAGGGAGGGCCTTCGCGGGGCTTCCTTGCACTCACACCGGCCTTGCAGGTCCACCGCTGGGCCCCTCATGGGGCTCGGCAGTGGAGCTGCAAGGCCGGCGGCGGCCGGGAGTGTGTGGCCTTATGACACACTTCCAGTGATGTCAGGGGGTGTGGCCTTATCAGGGGTGTGGCATATGCTAATGAGTTATGCTAATTAGTTCCCCTAGCTCTTTTTCTACGAAATGACTCCTGGACAAGCTTATTTGATTAGTGGGACAGTCCAGAGGGCCTCTCTGTGATCTAGTGAAGAACAGCCCCATCGATGTGTCCCACTGGTGTTGCACATGTCGGAAGCGCCACCAGGGTCTCCACTCTTTGCTAACAGCATCGGATGGAATGGGTAATGCTTACGATTGAGTCTCCTGGAAGGACCTATGCAATGGCTGCTTGGCCTGGACTGTGGAGTGGAAGCAAAAGAATCTGGAGCCGCTCTCATTGATAGGAGCCACTGTGCATGCGCAGCTGGCACACTGGTGCATGGGAAGTTCACACCAGGAAGGAACAATGAATCCCAGCTCAAAGGGAAACCAGGTTTGTGCTCCTGCCCATCCCACCAATTTAAAAACACCTTCAGACTAAAAAGCATGATATGCATGAGCAATGGAGACAGAGACCTCCATACGTACACACTGTCTGCCCTATTCTCTGCTTCAGTCACCTGGGAGCATTAGGCTGGGAAATCAGCACAGGCATCTCAAAGAGACTGGGGGGAGAAATAAGAGGGTACAGCAGAAAGGGGCCATAAAAGGGCACTTACAGCCTACCCTGAAAAAGAGGTCCTCTGAGCCCACAGTGAGGTTGAGGCATGGCCAAGCCTTCTAGGCACGTTTCCCTTGGCCAATGGCCTTCCTGCAACCAGACTCCACGCGTGACAGCCAAGATGCCAGGCTCCAGGTGGGACCTGGGGATCCCCTGGAATTACAGCTCAGCTCCAGACTACAGAAATGCGGTTCCCCTGGAGAACATGGAAGCAGGGGTGACTGTGTGGGTATTGTACCCCTCCGAGGTCTCTGTCATCCCCAGGCTCCCCCCCCCCCCAATCTCCAGGACTTTCACAACCTGGCTCTGGCAACCCTACCTCCTCCCCTATCCCCCGCCAGTGGCCAGCGGGGACCTGGTAACCCTGGGCCACCTCCTTGCCCGCATTTATCCGCATCATCCCCACGTGCCCGGGGTTGGGCTCGGGAGGCACTGGAGAAATGCGCGCCCCCCGAAACCGCGCTCCTGCCCGCCTGGCTGCTGCTCTTTGCAGGCGTGTCGACAGTTGGCGCAAAAGTCGGGCGCGGTGGGGGCCCTTCGGGAGCCCGGCGGCCTCTTTGCCCTGCGCGGCGTCCGCGGGTGCCGCCGAGGCGCTCGGAGCTCGCCACTCCCAAAGGAGAGGGAGGTGCCGGGATCGGGGCGGGTCTCTGCTGTGCCGCACCCGGGACAGCTCGGCCGCTGGGCCCGGAGGGAGCCGCGGGGCAGCGGCAGTCGCTCTCCGGCGAAGCTCTCGGGAGGCAGCCCGGCGGCCAAGGCGCGGCAGCGGGGAAGCGGCTGGGGGCGCGGAGACTTGCTCGGCTGCCGCCGGGGCCTGACTGCCGAGGGGGCGCCTCGCCTCGCCCCTCCCTCCCCCGCCGCACTTATTTGGCTGCAGCTTGGAAACTCCAGATGCAGCAGTTAAAAAGAGGACAGAGGCAATGATCCTTCAAATTGCCACATCTGTATAATCTGCCTTTTATTTTCTGCTTCATGAAGTTTTATTTCCTGTTATTTATTCACCTCGCCTTCGCCGCCCTCCTCGCATCGCTGGGATCCGAACCGCCAAAAGCCGCTGGGGGGTGGGTGGGGGAGCCGGAGTGGGAGCTGGAAGAGGCGCCCGGGGGCACCGCTGCCGGCCAGTCGGGGGCGCGCTGCCGCCGTCGCCGCGTGGTTGGAGGCGGCTAAGAGGCTGGAGAAGGGAGCGATGCCCCGCAGAGGCGCCCCGCCTTCACCCACTCCGAAGAGGGAGCCGCGCCTTGAGACGGAGGGCTGGGCCTAACCACCCACTCCCCAGTCAAAAGATCCCCAGCCTCCAGGTAAGGCCTGGGGATCCACGGGAATTACAGCTCCGTTCCAGACTACAGAGATCAGTTCTCCTAGTCAGGGTTGCCAACTCTGCGTTGGGAAATCCCTGGAGATTTGGGGGCTCGCTCTAGGGAGGGAACTCAGTGGGGTATAATGCCATAGAGTCCACTGTACAAAGCAGCCGTTTTCTCCAGGGGAACTGACCTCTGTCACCCGGGCATTAGTTTTAACTCCGGGAGATCTCCAGGCCCCACCAGAGACTGGCAACCCTGGTTCCACTGCAGAAAATGGATGCTTTGGAGGGTGGACTCTAATGCACTCTACCTCACTGAGGTCCCTGTCCTCCCCAGGCTCCAACCCCCAATCTCCAGGTATTTCCCAACCTGGGTCTGGCAACCTAACCCCACCCCCACCCCCTGCCAGTGGTTGCTGAGACCTTGCAGCCCTACTGGGAACAAAGTGGGATACGAGTGTGTACATTAAAATAAAGTCTTGGTAAATCGGTCCAGGTGAGCGGCAGGAGACCGAGGGACCCTTAGAGGTGCCTTCTTCCCCAAAGCCCCAGGAGCTCCAGTTCTGTGTGGTCAGGAGGAAGCTTTCTGGTATACTCAGCCGGAAGCCCTGCGGGCCACCATTGTAGGAGGGGGCCGTTGAGATCCAGTAACCTGCCATGGCCCCAACAGGAGCCCTAGTTGTCTTATTGCAACTGTGCTGCTGCAGCCAACCCTGGCAAAGCAGTTGAGTGTCTTCAGTTTGCCCACCAGAGATCCGAAACCACTGTCCCCGTGGAGCTAACCAAGGAAGCCTGGCTGCTTTGTGCAGGTGGCAGATGAGCTGTAACCTCGGGCGCACAGAGCTGCGGGGCACAGAAAAAGTATATCATGACTAAAATAAGCGTGTTATTAATCTTGTTATTTATGTATTTACCTTTTTAGCAAAATTACTGCTCTGGAAGTATTGGAGGCGTGCAATTTTATATTCTTGCCTCGGGTGCAAAATTAACTAGTTTTGGCTCTGGGTGGCAGTACAGGAGAAAGAGGTAGGAGAATGTTGAAGCAGGAAAATGGGCTGGGTACCACTGCAGGGATACATAAATACATAAAAAGGATGTAGGTGAAAATACAGTGATGGGCATAATGGAAAGTTCACATCTGCTTAACGTAATGCTCTTCAGGATGGAGAGACAGTGATGAAATTACTGTGCAATCCTAAACATAGTTGTAACCTAAATCCATTGAAGTCCATAGGCCTAGAAGG